CAGGCCTCCCGTGACGTCCCGGCTTCCTCCGCCGGCCTTGCGTCACCGCGGGAGGATGTTGCTGGGCTCGGGGAGCGGGGCCCGGGAGCCAGCGGGGGCACCTCGGATGGCCGGAGCAATCCCTGGCTGTTCCCTCCTTTGTCCTCATCCCCAGGTTTGCCCACCCGGCTGAGCCGCGGCCGCTGGGCTTCCCTCTGGATGGGGATGCGGAGCCTGGCAGCGGGACTGGGCGTGCTGCTGGAGGCTGCCTCTGCCCCACGGCAGCGCTCGGGCTGTCACATCGGCCACCTTGGTGGCCTTGGGGGCTGCCGTGCGAAGGCGAAAAGGTCCGGTTTTCCTTCCAAAATGGTTGGTTTTCTCCTTTAAAAATCCTTCATTTCTACATGGAGGTTTAGGAGAGTTGGGACAGAGATCCCGAGTTCCCGAAATCCCCATGGAGGAGGCCCTCCTGCAGCCTGCGCTGGTGCTCGGGAAGTGCAGGCTTTTTCCTCCTGGGAGCAGTACTGCTATCTCCAGGGTGATAAAATCCCAAGGAATGGGGGGTGTTCTTGCCCTCACTCCCTGCAGGTGCCTGAGATTTGCTTTTCTTCTGTGTTGTGAAGGCGGCAAAGCTTCCAGCAATAGGTTTTAACAGAGCCTGCGGGGGCAGGGAGGGTTGGTTTGCAGCAGGAGCTGTAACTGGGCCCGTGCCCCAGCAGGGGGATCTGAGATGTTTGGTTCATGCAGGAATATTGGATGGAGAAGGTGAAGGTATGTTTGCAGTAGTGGCTCCAGGTTTGGGTCATCGTCCTGGCGTGGGGAAGGCTGCCTTCAGTGATGCCCTCGGTGGCTTGGAAGCCAAAATAGTGAAAGCTTCCCTCTTTTCATGGGTGGTTTGGGCTGGGACATCCCCTTCCTGCCATCCCTCATCCTTTTCATGACTGTCAGGATTTCCTCTGCTCTCCCCTGTTACTGACAGCAAGGCAGGGGAAATTCACCCCACTCCTCTCCCTGCAAGTCTCGGGACATCTCTGCCTGCTCTCTGCAGTTCCCTCCCTAGCTTATCCCAGAGGAGCCAAACCGTTTTTCCTCGAGGTTTTCAGCCCAGCTGCAGTTTTCACGGATTTATCCCCCCATTCCCTGGGATGAAGAAGAAGAAGGGTAGGTTTGCTGGCTGGGGGAGGAGGGCTGGAAGAGCCCCCATGTCCCAGCAGCAGTGGCTTTGTCACCACCCTGCCGTGGCACAGCAGAGCGGGGACACGGATGACGGCAGCACTCCAAAGACCAGCATTGTTCCAAACGCCCCACCACAGACAATTTTGCTCACAGTGCTGCTGGAACAGGGCTTCTTGCTGCCATGGGTCTGGGCCATGGGCTTTGTTTCGGCGTGTGGAGCAATCCCTGCTCCACCAGGATTGATACCTGCATAAATCCATGTGAGATCAGGGCTGGGAGTAGATAATGAGACCCAGTGGAGTGCATGAAGGGGGCAGAGCTATGGTTGATAGCTCCTGGCTCCCTGCTGTTGAATGTCAGCACTGGTAAGTTTGGAATTTGGTTTTGTTCCCAGGGAAAGCTGAAATTCATGGCTGAGCTGCCCTGCAAAGCCAGCGCTTGTTCTTGTGCATCTTCCCCCTTGCAAAAAGCCTGGCACCCCTCATGATGGATGCTGGAAGCGGGACTG